CACACACACGCACACACATATATATATGTATATATATAGGTAAGATGAGACCGAATAGATTCCAATTCCAACGTTCGTACAAGATGAGAAGATTATAAAGCTACACAATAATAGAATTTTAAACCAATTTAATAATCTGAATCGCATTGCACGCTCCAAGATAAAAATTATTAATGATACTTGCCAATGTAATTGTAGGAATTCTAACCAATGCCCATTGCCAAACAAATGTTTTATTAAATCTTTTGTTTATCTAAGTACTATCTCTACAATAGAAAATCCGGCGGTTGAAAAATTCTATTTCGGTAGTACTAAGAATTCTTTTTAGACTGGGTGGTATCAACATATCTTGTCCTTCACCAATAGTACTTATAGAAATAATACATGACTTTCTGTCACTTTCTTAATATGTTTGGAGTTTAAAAGATGATAATAAAACTCGTAAGGTGAAATGGAAAATGTTTCCCGTATTTACATGAAAAATTGGGAATTATCAGATTTTATAAAAACTACTTACTAAATCAAAGGAGCGAATTAACGGTAAATTGTAGACATAGTCTATCTTTTAACTTACATTTTAGTTGAAAATTTGATAATGATTTTTCTTATATTTTAGTTGAACTGCGTTGCCCCATATATTGGTTATTTTTCTATTTGTAAGATTTATTTAGATTTCATATAGTTCTGTATTAACCTCCTGTTAGTATTATTAACATTTTATATGATGTATTGGTGGTTAGTTAGTATTTCTGAGATCTTACATTGATTGGTTGTTATTATTAACATCCTATATGGATGATCTTTATTTAACGGTGGCATATTAATTTACTAAATAATTCTAGAGTTTTGAATTATTTATTAGTTTCTTAAAGAGGCATCTTATTTATCAACTGCAAAAAAAAAAATATGTAGCAAATCCACAAAGCATATAAAGAGTTTGCTTTAGGTTAAATTACCTTTCTACCCGTCCGCTTTTATTTCTTGGGAAAGTTGAGCGTCTGACATTGATACAGATGGTTACAAAGTGTATACATGTTTAATTTAATGTTGGACTGCTGTCGGCAAATAATCCCCGACTATAATCCCTTTTCTAAGAAACATTTAATTTTTCTTCTTCGATTAGTTTGAATTGAACGTAGATCATGCTCGATTGGTTAATCAGGGTAAAGCACCCAAGCCTTATAACTTATTTTTTTCTACAAAATAGGATGTATTTTGCTTTTGAAACCAAATTAATTGATCACTCGCCACTAATCTCCAATTGCCTGAGGAGACTCATTGGTATGCGTTGAAAAACGGCTGCTATTGTGTAGCGATTTTTACATGTTCTTTGAATATATATATATATATATATATATATATATATATATATATACACGCACATACACACACACACATATATTATTCAGTAGAGCTAGCTGGAACATTCATTTTTATCGTCAATCATCAAGGCCAGAAGGTCATTAGGAAGTCAATCTGTGTCATACCATAGCTAGTTAATGTAGGTGAATTCTGGGTGACCAGCCCGGTTTGCGTCCTGGCTATGTTTCCAGTGCTGTAGATCACACACCGGTTCTTGTTTTGCTCACCAGCTGTTGCCACCAAAGCGCATTCCGTGTTCGCGTGAGATTGAAGAAATATTAGGGGTGGGTCCATGGTGCTTTAGTTGAATGTCGTCCCCAAGAGATGATAAATATAGCTCTTAGCATCCGAGTTTATTTCCCATCAATTTAGGCCATTTAGGGCTTTAGTTAATGTCCAAGCGGTGGAACCTCACATTAACATCGCCTTTAAAGAACTGAAGTTTTCTGGAGATCAAATTTCTAGATTACATCCATTTTAATCAATGCGACCCAGTCATTAGGTATGCAAATTTTTTATATATTTCATTTCGATTCTTAGGTATATATATATATATATATATATATATATATATATATATATATATATATATATAATATTGGTAAATATACACATACATATGCAATCATATATCTAAAATGGAATAATTATGACCATGGAATATTAGTGTTTAAGCCTTTTATTATATATATATATATATATATATATATATATATATATATATATATATATTATGCAGTGTTACATTAGAACATGCACATACCCACTACAAAACTGTACATCTTGTTTCAACGTTAAAAATTTTTTAACGTTTTTTATTTTTAATATTGAGCCTTGTTTTCAAATAATAATTTTGAACGCTGAAATCTTTTGCAATTGGATATATATATATATATATATATATATATATATATATATATATATAAAGACTGCTATCAAGACACTGCGATTAAGCTGTTTCTTACATTTTGGGCGGATTTCTGGACGTAGAGTGTGTAAAAACTGACCCAATGATACGTGGAGTCGAACGTGTCGGCCAATCTATTAACCCTTATCAAAGAGGTTTTCTATTTCGGCCTAATCCACAAGTCAGCTCTGTGGATGTTGAACACACGCAAAATGTGCTTGGACAAGCCCCAGAGCAAGAGGAACTGGATAGCTGCCCTAGAAGATGAGTGTGTTCAGAAATAAATAGCAGGCCATATTATATAGACTACCAAGATACGAACCCGTACCGTTTCGATACAGCGTAAGCGTCATACCAACTGTACCAACGGGCCTCAGTGACGAAGAAGAAACTGAATAGACCCGATATAGAGCCGCTAATTACAAATTCCTTGGTGATACTCATCTAAGTATTCGTAACCCAACAGATTGTGGCCCAAGATTCCCCTGAATCATTCCATCTAAGAGCATTAGCTGTGTCAAGCAAGGATATACAAATAATAAATTTTGGGGATCTAGGCAAAATCATTATATATAATATTAAATCATTATATATAATCATTATAATGTTTTTGCCTAAATCCCCAAATTCTATCAATTATATATATATATATATATATATATATATATATATATATATATATATAATATTAGTGGTAAATATACACTTACATATGCAAATAAATATACATACATGCATACACACATAAATATATATTTTGTATATAAAAAAAAAATTCCAAGAAGATAGAATCCAGGTAGAACTCAATGTCCAGGACTGAGTAAGGTTATAATAAAAAGTATTAAACACTAATATTCCATGGTTATAATTTATTCCATTGGAATCGTAAATACGATCCAATTCATCAGACCTACAAATTCAAAAAGAAAACACAAAAATTTATTTTTGAATTTGTAGGTCTGATGAATTGGATCGTATTTACAATTCCCATGGAATAAATTATGAACATGAAATTTTAGTGTTTAAGCCTTATATATATATATATATATATATATATATATATATATATATATTAATTAAAATGAATCAGCTCAAAACGCCTGTTTGTCTTTACAAAATAGGCATATAAAATAAAATATAAGTATAGTGTTAAGTCATGCGATATGGATGGGGTAAAAAGGTCAAAATTTTGGATAGAGCGCATCTAAATATAATCAAGTGGGTAGAAATCAACAACGAATGGCAACAGACTGTTTAAGGCTTGAAAACATGCCATGAAGATTGCTTTTAAGCATGAAACAGACAATCACTATTCAGTCACTTTATCTCTCTTCCCCTTCTCTCTCACTGTAAAGTTATATTTAGCATTGTCTATCTGGGCTTGTTTCATTAATTTATATATATATATATATATATATATATATATATATATATATATAGATAGATAGATAGATAGATAGATACAACTAGTGAGCCAGACAAACCTACCTAGGTTTCACCAAAATTCCCTCGAGATTTGATTATTTAGCAAATCAAAATTTCGAGGGTTTTTCGAAACGAGTCTAGTTATCTATAATTATATATATATATATATATATATATAAAACATCAGATTTTTGCATTGTAGATATTTTGGAGAGAGGTGGTGTTGGTAACAAAAAAAGGTTGGGTATCTAAGAGTCACATACCAATGTTTAAGAGGATTTTTGCAAAAATTCTTCATCGGCTTGTCGAAATGATGAATGTACGGCGCTCCAAATGGTCAGAAGGTTTCAGTTCTTGTATCAATTGAATTTTGTAAGCGTGTAGAAACAAATCTTTTGTCAAAATTCGATGTAATGTTGTTGTGGAGGGGTTCAATTCCTCCGCGCGTGACGAAGAGAGGTGTCTGGATTTTCGGTCACATTCTCGTGCACTACAGCAATGTTTTCAGCTGAACGGCGTAAACGTGCACGCAGTGGTGTTTTCACATCTGCCACCGAGCCAGTTTGTTTGAATTTACGAACAATTTTTCCGACTACACTCTCAGTTGGTCGATTATGTTGTCCAAAAAAATTGCGAAGTGCTCGAAATGCATTTCTATTTGAACGTCCATTTTCGTAATAGGCTTTGATAACTTTAACGCGTTATTTGATTGTTAATCTTTCCATGGTTGAAATTGCCAAAGACTTAAGTTGTTAAATCTGAAAGAAAAAGAAAAAAATCATTAAACGCTTAAACTTAATTCTCATTTAAAATCGGTCCAAGTTATTGGAACAGCCTATATTTACTCACTCCCCCACCACGGTGACGCAAGACCGGTTTAAAGTGGGGAGCCCATGCGCGTGCCCGTGGGCATAGTCCCCGCAAACAACAACCCACTGGCGTCAATATTCCACCGACCCCATTCTCTTTGGTGCAATGAGGGAGGTGCTGCTCTAGTGGATAAAGTATCCTATATTTATTTACTGTGTTCTGTTCGGAGACAGAAACACAAATGAAATATAAAAATGTAGTTTGTCCTCCCGAAAGTAGATTGTATTTTCTTGCCTCCCCCCGCCTTCCTTCCTCCCGGTCATTTTAATGTGAGGTTCTCCATCGCATGCACTCGGACCAGGTTCCAAAATAGCCCAGCCTCCGCAGCCGTCGGTTGCACTGGCATCGGTATGACTACCGACACACAACCTGCTCTTTAGTGCATCGCGGGCATCTGTACCATGGAATCGAGCAGTTGTTCCTCGAAATCGGGCAGCTGTTCCTCGGAATCGGGCAGCTGTTCCTCGGAATCGGGCAACTGTTCCCTTGGAATCGAGCAGCTGTTACTCGGAATCGGGCAACTGTTCCCTTGGAATCGAGCAGCTGTTCCTCGGAATCGGGCAACTGTTCCTCCGAATCGTGCAACTGTTCCCTGGAATCGGGCAGCTGTTCTCCGGAATCGAGCAGCTGTTCCTCGGAATCGAGCAACTGTTCCTCGGAATCGGACAACTGTTCCCCGGAATCGAGCAGCTTTTCCTCCGAACCGGGCAACTGTTCCCCTGGATTCGAGCAGCTGTTACTCAGAATCGGGAAAGTGTTCTCCGGAATCGAGCAGCTGTTACTCGGAATCGGGCAACTGTTCCCCTGGAATCGAGCAGCTGTTACTCAGAATCGGGCAACTGTTCCCCTGGAATCGAGCAGCTGTTACTCGGAATCGGGCAAATGTTCCCCTGGAATCGAGCAGCTGTTCCCCTGGAATCGTGCAGCTGTTACTCGGAATCGGGCAACTGTTCCCCTGGAATCGTGCAGCTGTTACTCAGAATCGGGCAACTGTTCCCCTGGAATCGAGCAGCTGTTCCTCGGAATCGGGCACTGTTCCCCGGAATCGAACAGCTGTTCCTCGGATTCGGGTAACTGTTCCTCTGGAATCGAGCAGCTGTTACTTGGAATCGGGCAACTGTTCCCCGGATTCGGAAACCTTTCAATATTTTAGTTGTGCTCTGACCGAAGATAAAGAAACAACTTAGTTGCGCTCTGACTGAAGTCAGAAACACAATTGAGAGATAAAATATAGTTTGTCTGTATAAAGGCAGATACTACAAATTGATCCCAGTCCAAACGGTGGGTAAAGACCGTTTTTGTTGTCGTTTAAAAGTCAGAGATTCATTTTACACAAAGAAGCTTTTCTGAAACGATAAAAATGAAATATTCTTCAATTATGATAAATGTTCCACCTTCAGAAAGGTCGAATGAATGTTAATCTACCAAAATTATTTCCAAAAATCATTGTCCGTGAATTTCTTTTACTTAAATAATGCCATGTGTTATGGTCTAAACTGAATGTAAAGCTCAAATCTTACAGTTTCTTTTTCATGCTAATCTTATTGGCTTGTAGAACTTAGCCAGTATTAGGCTACATGTAGTGTGGCTGGGTTCTTCTTTCATTTGCTTTGTTTGAACTAAATCACCAGCTAAAGTGTTCGTTTGACTTTACCCAAAGTAAGTATGCATTTTTATATATTTCCCTTCATAATAATTGACCTTTTGTCTTTCGGATGCTTCCACTAACACCTTATGCTTCACTTTGTTAACCTATTGTACTCTAACCAAAAATTAAAAATAAAAACGAAAACACCAAAGGCAAATCAAAATTCACATATTAAAATGCATTAGAAATACAAAACAGTTTGTTTAAAATAAAAGACATTTTTTCATATTGGCTTAAAGGCCAATGTAAGTTATTTTAAAAATTCACCCTGAAGTCGCTTCCTATTTATAGAACATACATTAGAATTATTAGAAGCAAAATCAGGGGAACAACTCTGTTATTAGGCAAACTCCAACTACAGCGAAACTTTAAAATTAGTTTTATTTTTATTTAAACTTATCCCTAATCGATAGGGTTAAAAGACTTCTGAACATACTAAGAATTTCGAGAAATTACGTCATTCTTAAATTATTATTAATTTAATTCTAAAAAAAAAATTAAAATATTTCTTTAAAAAGATATCGGTTTAAAACAATAACATTTGAAAAATGATTTAATTCTTAAAAATATAAAGTTGTTCTCCATAGATATTACAGATTTTACCCAAAACAATGGCATAACTGAAAAATTATGTAAATCTAAAGACATATTATATAATACCTCTTTCCTTCTCTCTCTTTTTCTCTCTCACTCTCTCTCTCTCTCTCTCTCATATATATATATATATATATATATATATATATATATATATAGTTAAAGATCAAAAGCAGGTAAAATATGGATCGAAATCTAACAAAATGATTAGATTACCCATTTATTTCTTTATTTTATCGTATCATATATATATATATATATATATATACGTGATGCAATTTGCTATTAAAATATTGTACGTAAATTTTCTATTGAAATGATTTCTATAGTATATTCTATAGTCAGACAAATAACGGAAGAAATGTTGATTAGTCTGTACTGATGCAAACTCTACATTTAAAATTTAAAGTCAGCTTCATTTGTACTTCCATTAATCCCTAATCAGCAGGAGTCTAGTGTTAAATGTTTTTTTTGAATATACATGCATACATGTTTACGATTTAAAAATGTTTATCTAAATGGTAATTATGGAAGATTAAATAAAAATAACGGGAAAGGCGTATAAATTTTGCATAAAATAATGATACATTCATGCAAATATAAAGTTGGTTTATATATATATATATATATATATATATATATATATATATATATATGTGTGTGTGTGTGTGTATAAAAATTATATATATATATATATATATATATATATATATATATATATATATATATATAATTATTTTCCTTTCTAAAAATATGATTCAATACGGCACAAAGAAAATAATTATAATATTTTGCTCTACTGTTTGTATCGAGCACTGATTTTTAAAAGTAAAAATAATTACTAAGAACACAAGATTATAAATCTTACCGCTCTTTCTTATTTATATATATATATATATATATATATATATATATATATATATATATATATATATATAATATTATGAAGGACTTGGTAATCCGTATGGGTAATCCCAAGGAGGATGAAATCCTGACAGCTCAATGTAAATCCAGAGCTAATATTTAAAAAAAAACAGACCACTTTAAGGTTCCATTATAATAATTTATTTCACCAGAGCCCTTTTAAAGGACATGGATCATCAGATAGCACTTCCAAAATGAAAAAAAAAATTATATATATATATATAGATAGGTAGATAAATATATATATATATATATATATATATATATATATATATATATATATATATATATAAAATAACTTGTTTTCTATTAAAAAATACTTTTAAAATACTAAAAATAAATGTACCATTATTTCTAGGGTATCATTATTTTATGCAGCTATGTGAAAAAAAGTTATTTTTTCTGTTTTTAATATTCATATGATTATTTTTTTTCAGTTTTTGTAATATACAAACAAAAAGGGGCCATTACGCCCACTTTCACTATGATTATTAAGTTAGAAACTGGAATGGAAGTTGACCTATCCTTCAAGTTAGAACATATTGTCCAAACAACGATGCTCGATATCGGAGATAGTGCCACTATAATTTCAAAGGAAGACAATTAAACTAACTTCCTAAATAAACTAGATAATCCATTGGCACGACCCATAGTATCTGCACATTTCTTCCTTGTGCCGTTTGCGTACGTAATCGCAGGAGTTTGGATTTCGCGCACATAAAACTGTACCAAATAACAAAAATCACGTAACTTGAGGACTAACAACAGAGACAACAACTACAATTGATAGCAAATTAACTCGAAAAGAAAATAATAATATAATCAAGATGCCACACAATGAAGGTCGGCTGAAATCTTCATGAGCAAGACATAAATTTAAGTAGACACACCAGTCGATACGTGCAAGTGCTCTAGAGTACAACACGTGGTCGATCAGCTGTTGTATTCTGGCCTATGATCTTTGCAGTTAGTGGATTTGTTTAACGGCATATGAACTCCTTATGGGTCATTTAATGTCGAAATTAAATTTTCTTGGGAACTTTGAAGTAATAAAAATATAAGATGTTATTCTGCTTTCACATACGTGGTAGGTGATACTCAGCTTTTGTACATAGATAATTGTATAGACATAATTACTAGAGGCGGTGATATGCGTGCTTTATATTGAAGTTACATTTTGGAATAGAGTTTGATTTAAGTAATTGCAGGATATTATATAGATTCATGTCATGAAAGATTTCTTTGGTTGTGTGGTTCATTGACTGATTTTTGTTTAGCGGCATATCAACAACAGTGGGTTATTTAATGCCGAAATCTAAACAATTTTATGGCGTCAACGAAATATATTTTGAACGCAGTTGTATAAAATGTATTATTGGTCATTTTTATATAAAAATATATTACTGATATATTTACTACTAAAATGCATTCTTATACTTCCATAGTGTTTTTGTTTGGAGTGGAGCGCTCACTATTTGCTCATAGTGACTGTAACAGGTGCAGTCACTCCCATTTTGGGTGGGCCTGGGGAAAATAGCAATTAAGAGATGGTTCCAGGCTGCTCAAAACTTCCAATCTCCAGTTCAGAGGTTTTGCTACCTGGGGTAGTTTTTCGTCCTACCCAGGACTTATGAACTTTTCTGCCGACCCTCGTTCTTCAGATATAAATACTTTCATGACAATTCTTCTGATGAACTTTCCTTTATGCTACCTAGATTTTATAAATTTATGCTACCTAGATTTTATAAATTTAAGCACAGTACTAGATTGGCAGCAAGGTCACATCATTTTATAGTTTAAATTGTTAGATGTAACCGTAATTTCTGTGCTAACATTTTTTTCTCTCGCATTTCTAACTTGTGGAACTATCTTCTGGCTTCTTGTTTTCCAGTTAACTTTGATCTTCAAAAATTTAAATGCAATGTCAATCGTTATTTTCTATCTTATTAATTCCTATTCAGCCATTGTTCTCTCTTCTTAATAATGTTTTTTTTTTCTCATATTCTTCCAAACCCAGTGAACACTTGTGTCATTGTGGCTAATTGACTTATTGTCATTTATCTGCATGTAAATTGTATTTTACTTTTGCTTTTGAAGGGCAGTAATTCTTTCCTATACTTCCTTTCCTATATTAAATCAATTAATTAATAGAATATTTTGTAACTAATTTAATTTTGGTATCATGTATAGTTATTTAAATATTTTTTACCTGAATTTTTGGGAGAAGGAGCTCGAATTTCATATACTTAATAGTCTCAGCAAATGAAAACCGGCTCTGTATACAATAAAATAAGTACTTTTCTTTTTAAGAAAATGCTAACATAAAAATCAGATTTTAATTATGGTTGTCGTTTCGTTCCTTAATTAGTTAGCGCTTTCGTTACATCCTGCAAATACCTCCTAAATAATGGACTAGCCCGTTTTAATCGCAAAGAAAAACTGGTTTCGTGTGAAAAAGAAAGAGAGAAAGAAAGATAACGTTCTTATGTGTTTAAACGGTTGCTTCAATGAAATGAAAAAAAAAAAAACATCTGTTTTTGCTATTTTCATTTGTAGCCTCTTATTTCCTTAAATAATGACCTGTAATCATACGTATGATTGTTATTGCAATATTTTATTAAAGTTGTTAATCTCAAATTTTTAACGACGCAATAGGGTAATTTCGACTGGTATTTTATAGTCGAAGAACTTGAAAGGGACTTATTCAATCATCAAATTAAGTATCACGATACACTAGAAAATTAAAATATCAAAACCATTTGTTCACAGTTATTGCTAGTCGTAATTAATAAGGAAAATACATCTTGCTTCTTCCTTTTTCACTGATGTTTTCTCAAGGGAAATAACTGAAATATTTTTTACTGAGTTATCTCCCTTGAAAAATTTGTTTTTTTAGTTTTTGTTTATC